TTTTCTAGCAGTGAGCTTTATTACTCTTGAAAGTTAATACATTACAGTTTACGTTCAAACTTATAATGATACTGAGATTTCATATAAAATGGGGGGACAATGAGAAAGCAGTAATTGTTGGACATGCATTAGTAGCTAACCTACCCTCGTTGAAATATTCCAACATGTAGGACTATTAAAAAGAGTATAGTTTGGGGTCGTAAAAATTACTCTTTTTTTCTATTAATTATTTAAATGATTTACGAACATAAATACAGCATTATAATAATTATTGTATTTGATGAAAATTTATCAACCAATCAAAATTGGTCAATTAATCTAAATTTTATAATATTATTCTATAGTTTTGGAAAATAGTTGGTCAAATTTCTGATTTTTTTTTTATTTTCTTTCGAAAATCAAATTTATGAAATTTCTTATTCTAAGGGTTGAAAATTGATTTCTTTATTCTCAAATAAATTTTCAAAATTTAGATTATTATATATTTTTATTTTAAAATATAATATTTTAATATTCTGTGCGAGATTAATAAATATTGAGTAATAATGGACTGTTATATTTATTTTAAAATAAATAATTCGAGAATTAATTTCTGCCAAAAGTCAGGAGAAATGAATTTATGTTAGCTGTTGTGAAGTGGACACACATTTTGGTGTATTTATTTATTTATTTATTTACTTACCTGAGAAAATTAGAGTTTTATGAATTTTTTATATTTGATTTTTATCGAATTAATTAACGGACTCTAACTCAACCTAATTTAAAGAAATAGAGGGTTGAGTTGAGTTGAATTGTGAACCCTATTCGAGTCATTCGAGTTACCAATTCAACCAATTTAAAACTTCGAGTTGGTCCAAAAATAATTTTCAACCCTCCAAAATGGTGACGATTTAGGTAGTCTTGATAAAGGTAGCTCAATGGCTAAAACTCTATCGTACCGGGAAGAAACACAATATTTCTGATTACCACAGCTTTCTTTCGTTTGTAATTTCGTGACGTTTTTAGTAATTTTTTAAGTTAGTCAAATAGAGATAGAATGAGGTGGAGGTCGGTTCGAAAAGATTGGAAGTAAAATTACCATTATGGACATTTTAGAAAAGGATAAGATATGTTAGGCTGAAGTTATGAGTCATTTATGTTTGAATAATTGAGGTCAAAATAGGCTGAATTTTTAACCCTTATTGGCTGTCCTCTTATCATAGTCAACTGTGTGGTTACTCTCTTGGGGCCATTGATTTTGATTTTTCTATTTATTTTAAAAATTTTAAATTAAATCCTAAACTTTATTGATTTTAATTTTGTTGAGGCCCATGGGCTTAGCCCACGAAGGCTTACAGCTTACAAGTATATTTATACAATTAATTATAGAATTAAAAGCAATTTTTTTTTCACCTATTATTATTAATCTCGTAAAAAGATTATTTCTTTAATATTTTCTCAAATTATTATATTGTTGTGGTGGTTTAACTACCGCCTATCAAAAAGTCGTTATCTAATTATTTTACTTGTTTAAATATATTTAACCATCGAGACATTTAAATCAAATTTAAAAATGTAATGTTGACTCAATGATTTTATGCATAAGGTCGACTATTATAAAGGGAGAGATATTCATTTAATTTGTGGAAATTTGCTCTTGAATGGAGCAGAGATTCTTCATTCAATTTTATGTATTTGGGTCGTTTTGTTTTTGTTTTACAGTTATTTTTGTTGTTACAACCGTCTATTTATTAATTAATAAAGTTATCACTATTTTTATGGTGTTTTTCAAGATTGTGTTATCAAATAATTAAAAAGTTTTCTTAAAATGACTATTTTTTTTTAAAAAAAAAGAATAATAATCGATAAAAAAAAAATAGTGGAGATTTTGTAGAGAATCCCGCCCTCCATCCCTTGAAAAATAAATAGAGAATTTCACAGGAACCAAAAAATGAAATAGAGGGTGAAGATGAAGACATGAAAGTCTTTCGGGTCCCTACCCTGCAGGTGGACATTGTTAGATGATGAAAGTCTCACGTTTCCTAATTTAGGAAATGATTATGAGTTTATAATCAATCAATACTCTCTCCATTGGTTTTAGGCATCTTGGGAGAACCGAAAGTAAATCCATGAGAGCTTATATTCGAAGTGGGCAATATCATACCATTGTAGAGAGTCGTAGCCTTCTATTTCGAGGAAAAATAGTACAATGGGTTAATTTCATCCTAAAAATGATACGAAAAAAAGGAGTGGAAGGTGGACCATTTTGGTAGAAGTAAAGTTAACCTAAAAACATAAAAACAAAGCTCATCCACAGCTACAAAACTTACACTATGCTCTGCAACATCGCTGCCTCAATGAATGACACAATTATTGCTTTCTTTAGGGGTATACTCATAAATCTCTTCAACACTTTGAGAAACCCACTTCCAAATTCCCTAAAACCCACCAAACCCAGATGGAAGGAGTAAGAAAGGCGCCATTTTTCCGACCACAATTGTGGGCTGCAGCGTTGGGGTGTGGAGTGGTTGCATTTTGTTTGGTGCAATTGGGGCATTATTGCACTTTGGTTGTGGTGGGTGGCTTGTTGGTTTGCTTGGCCATGGCGGCGGCTGCGGCGGTGGTAACATGGATCACGGTGGTGGTTTTCCTGGTGCTGATTGGGCGGTCGAGGCGGAGGGTGGTGGCGGAGGGGAGGAAGATTAGTAAAGAGATAATGGTGGGGCTTGTGGTGAAGGTGTTGTTGAAGGAAGGCAAGGTTTTGGGTGGGCTTTGCGGTGCTGTTTTGTGCTGCTTGGCGGTAGCTTGGGGTCCATCCCTGCCCATTGCTCATTATTATGCCGCTTGGGATTGGTGATTGTCTAAGGATCAAGTTGTTGGCGTTTGGTGGAGAAGTAGATAAGCTTAAATGAGGTTGCTATTATATTTTTGGGGTTTGTTTTTATTCACTTTTTGTTTGGTGCCTTTCTTTCTAGATCATAATTATCGAGTGGAACCACTGTTTCTTGTTGTTAATCATCTGTTCTTGTCTAACATGGATGCCTTCGCTTTAAGAATTAGTGTTTTTTCGCGAGGTTTTGAGGTGGTTGCGCATGCACTGATTGTATACGATGTTATATCGATTATATAATTGTGGTAGTTAACTATTTGTTTTCGTGAGGTGTTGTGATATGTTTGGTTTGATGTCACTGATTGGATGCCAATTCTTATCCGTTGGAGTATGATCTTTCGTGACACTTGTTTTAGCATTACGAGATAATTGGGATAACTCAAAACATAAGATAATGGTCTATTAGTGTAACAGTTCAATCCTCTCAGGACTCTCGTTCCCTTCTTCTACCGATGTGGAATCTCACAATTCACCTCCCTTGGGGGGCTCAAAGTTCTCGCTGGCAGCACACCACTCGGTGTCTGGCTATGATACTATTTGTAGTAACTCAAGTCCACCGCTAGTAGATATTGCCCTTCCACCTCCCTTGGGGACCCATGGCTCTATACTATTTGTAAAAGCTCAAGTCCACTGCTAACATATATTGTTATCTTCGGGCTTTCCCTTCTGAGCTTCTCCTTAAGGTTTTAAAATGCATTTACGAGGGACAGGTTTCTACACCCCTTATAAGAAATGTTTCGTTCTTCTCTCCAACTGAGGTGAGATCTCACAATTAGGCCACAAGAAAAGAAAATGACATATTCATACATACCATATTTAGGTCCCAAAATGCACGTTCTATGATCTTGCTATATGTCTTTGTATATTTAATCCCGTTAGAGGAGCTACTTACGGGGTATTTTCAATAGTCAATCTTGAAAACAAAAAATGTAAGACAATGGTCAGGAGGACGTACAAAGCAAGCAAGAGTGTTTGCTAGTCCAGCCATAAGTTCTATGTCAGCATGATTTCCACCATTTTGACAAGTCTATAGAGTTTTAATTTAACTTGATTCAAGTCAGGTTCTAAATTTTCCGTTCTTATTTATGAAAATCTCTTTCATTTTTCTCGAATGTTAGTTTCAACATCGAGTTAAATCAGTAGTTTTTGACGAATTCTTACCAACAAAAGTCATAAAACGATTCAATTCCTTTCACCTCCCCATATAAAACTCGAACGGAATCTAAATTGGTTAATCTAATACGAAACACATAACATGTAAGAAAGAAAGGGAGATGTAAGATTAGGTCCACCAAATAGTTTATGATTAAATCTCTGACCAAATTTTGGAAGTAGGGATTATGATAATTTGGCCAGAAATACACATATTATTAAATCTAACATCAGCGACCAAATCTAATTATTGTTTGGTTAAGCATTTGAAAACCCTTTTACCAAATTAATTTAGAATAAAGTTGGTACAACTTATAGGGGATGTCGGTAGCCCTACCTCAAATTAATCACTCCTAAAAAGTTTTTGACCGAGCAACTTGAATAGAGTTCACAATCCAACCCAACTCGTTTTTCTATTGTCAGGTTGAGTTGGGTTACATTAATAACTAAAATACTGAAATATTAAACCGTCATAAGTCATGACGTATCACTAATATCGGCTACAAACATTTAATCTTAAAAGTAGAGTTGGGATGTAACTTTTCGAGTTGATCGGGTTAACCAGACTAAAAAAATTCAACCCAACTCAAACAAAAAAAAAGAAAAAAAAATTAATTAATAAAAAGAACTTTTAAATTTTTTAGTTCTAAAACAATAATTGAAGAATAATTAATTAATTAATTTGGGGTTTCCCTTTCGATATGGGCCTGTGGACATCTTTCTTCCAAATAATAATAATTGCTTTGTTTTCGGTTCCTCTTTCACAACAGAAACGCTGTTTTAAAATTACGAGTTCATCATTTTTGTCGGATTAATCAAGTAAAATCCACTCTAATACTCCAAATTCATTCCCCCATTTCTTAATCAAGAACCTCTCAATTAATCAGCATTTTAAGGCTCTTCTTTCATTACTTTAACCATAATTAACAATGCTTAGTAATTTACTAAATGAAGCTGGATTCTTTTAGCCTTCCATGTTTAATTGCTCCTTAGATCTTCTTCTGGTCTTCAATTTGCAAATGTTGTAATTGCTGTCTATTTTTATTGGGCTTTTTTTCCTTTTTTAAGTTATTGCAAATGCAATAACTTAAAGAAATTTCGAAATCAAGGTGGGAGACAAGGAAGAACTCTTACATGTGAGTGATTCAGATTTCAGAATTTGTTGGGTTTTTTTTTTAACTTGTCTTTTTCATGTTCAAATCAGGGAACGGTGAAAAGGAAACGGGAATATTTTAATCTGCTGGTTTTGTTGAAATTTGGGAACGGCTGCCCATTTACGTGGGTTGAACCAGACGGTTGCTTTTTGAGGTCGTGAAGGAAAAGCTTGAAAAAAAGAAAAAACGAGAGGGTTTGTAGATCTAATTAAACCATCGAAAGGATACCAACATTCTACCATACTCCTTCAATCTCAACCTCTTTTTGCTTCTTTTGCTTAATCTCTCATTGATTTTCCTTGATTGGTGTGATTTCTTTTGTCATATCCTCTTTGTTCTTTCTCTCTTTATAAATTTCCAATATCCGAGATGGTATTTAGCTTGAAGTGGGATTGTTATTAACTTGTGGAGGAAATAGGGATCTGGGTTTGCAATAAGATCGGCTGATTTCGCCGACATTCTCGTTCCTTGAGGTTTTTTGTTCTGAAATCGCATCTGGGTATGAGCGATTCTTTGATTTTGATTTGAATAATCATCTGGATTCTTTGATTTTGGTGTTCGTTAAAGGAAATGATGGCTGGGAATGGGCTGTTCTACCCGATTCTTGGATTTGCATCTTGTTTGGCTTTCATTTACATGTCGTTTGGGAACTGGAGGATTGAGGATACTAAGCCCCTTAAAATGGACTTTGTGGAGAGAAGTGGAACGCAGTTCATGGTGAATGGGAAGGCGTTTTATATCAATGGATGGAATTCTTACTGGTTTATGGACCATGCCGTTGAGGAATATAGGAAGCCCAGAGTTAGAGCGATGCTGCAGGCGGCGAGGAAGATGGGGCTTACAGTTTGCCGGACTTGGGCTTTCAACGACGGTGGTTATAATGCCCTTCAGGTTTCTCCCGGCAGGTTTAATGAACGTGTCTTTAAGGTATTGATTTTCATGTTGAGCTGCATTTTCTGATATACATCTGAGAGATTCCTGCTGTCTCTGTTCTTGAACTCTTGTTTGATTCTTGGTCTCTCCTATGCTTTGGTTCTGTATTCTTGATTGGTTTCTTTGAATCTCTGTTTTAGAGAATTCTGCCATGGTCGAAAGGCTCCATTGGACAAAGTATGGAAGCTCGGTGCTATCACCGACAGAAATGTTTCTGTAGTCATAAAACAACATGGAATAAGCTGATTAAAAAGCATTATAACCTGTATTTCTGTGAAAGATTGAGCTGGTTTTGTTTGTTTACTTGACAATATAGTTTTTAGTTCATAAACTGAGGTCTAGAATTCAAGGAAGAACCATAGGTTTTAGTTCATACATTGAGAACACTGGGCCTCGAAGGGGGTGGATTATAAAATCCTATATCGGTTGGAGAGAAGAACGAAGCATTCTTTATAAGGGTGTGGAATCCTCTCCCTAGTAGACGCGTTTTAAAAAACTTGAGGAGAATCTCGGAAGGGAAAGCCTAAAGAGCACAATATCTGCTAGTGGTGGGCTTGGGCTGTTACAAATGGTATTAGAGCCAGACACTGGACAATGTACTAGTGAGGAGGTTGAGCCCCGAAGGAAGGTGGACATGAGGTGGTGTGCCAGCAAGGACACTGGGGATGGATTGTGAGATCCCACGTCAGTTGGAGAGGGGGAACAAAGCATTCTTTATAAGGGTGTGGAACCTCTCCCTAGTAAACACGTTTTAAAAATTGTGAAGGGAAGTCGAAATAGGACAATATCTGCTAGCGGTGGACTTGAGCTATTACAGTCTCTCTGTTTAAGAAACAAGGGAAACAACGCATTATCCAAACTCTATCCGAGGAAAATATATGTCAATGTCTATATGTTTTGTCTAGACAGATTTGTATTGGTTTGATGTTATCTTTGATTTGCTTGAATGTGTCGTGAAGTTGTATTGTTATGAGCTCAAGTTTTAACAGGTTCTCTTGGTGGCAGGCTTTGGATCATGTCATTGCAGAAGCAAGACAACATGGGATTAGGCTTCTTCTTAGCTTAGTCGACAACTTGCAGGCCTATGGTGGAAAGACACAGTATGTGAAGTGGGCATGGCAAGAGGGTGTTGGTTTAAGCTCTTCCAATGATTCCTTCTTCTATGATCCATCGATACGCATTTACTTTAAGAACTATATTAAGGTACATTCCATATTTAACAATGAGTTTCTCCAATATTTTTCATGACATTGATGTTTTGGGTATTCACCTGAAGATATGCTATGGATTCCGAGTTTATTGACCTTATGGCTAGGTCGTTGTAGCACAGTGTGTCGTCCAACATATTTCCGAACAAGGCATCGGTTTTATGAACCTGTATCTGGTACTAATGTGCTCTATGTTTTGCAGACTATCCTGACAAGAAAGAACTCTATCACTGGAATTCAATATAGAGATGATCCCACCATCTTTGGATGGGAATTGATGAACGAGCCACGTTGCATGACCGATGCTTCGGGCGATACTCTTCAAGTAAGTTGTAAGATTTTGATTCTTACTGATTTCTGGATGTTAAACCAAATGAGATTCGAAAGAATTGGACTCTGGTTCAGCTCTTGACACTCCCTAACTAAGTTGTAAGATGGTCTTTAATCGAAACTAGGACTAGGCATGGAAAAGCTTAATCATCGGCCTCCTCTCCTGAACTGAACTTGAACCGGAACCTCAACCGAATGAAAGAATCAGAATCATATATTCCTTTACAAGAGAGGAAATGAAAGTGAAAACTAGTACAACTCCAGAACCTTTGACTCTATTCTCGGACCTTCCTTCTTACCTGTAGCTTAAAAATCTACTTTCTTACGATCATGGAGTTCATTCGAATATGAAATCCAATCGAGAAATCGAGAAATTTCTATCGGAGTAGGTTCTATAAAGAACAATTAATCGATCTGGATTCACTAACTTATGATAGATTATTCGTCGTTAGCGAACCAATTGAAACCTGAACCTCATTGAACCTACTGTACTTCAGTTTGAATCTATTGATTGATAGCTCAATTTTGTACTTGTGGAATATATGAAAATCATGTTCTTTTTTTTCACTCTGCTTTAAGGGGAGATTTCCATGCATATACTTATGGTGAGGAATGAAATTGTAGGATTGGATTGAAGAAATGTCAGCTTACATTAAATCAATCGACAAGAAGCATCTACTAACGGTCGGGTTGGAAGGATTTTATGGTCCAAATAGCCTCAAGAGGTCTACTGTGAACCCTGAAGAGTGGGCGTCGAGACTTGGATCTGATTTCATCCGCAATTCTGCGGTCCCATACGTCGATTTTGCCTCTGTTCATATCTACCCTGACCATTGGTAAGCATTGAACTGCAACAGCAAACTTGGTTACAGAACATTCAATTCCTAATATCTCAATGATTCTAGTCATATCTATGCTTATAGATCACGAAATTAACATTCTGTGTCGATTAGGTTCCATGATCAAGATTTCGAAGATGAAATGAGATTTGTCTCCAAGTGGATGATCTCTCATATTGATGATGGTGACAAAGTACTTAAGAAGCCAGTCATGTTTACTGAATTTGGACTGTCAAACCTGAACAAGGGCTTCACGCCAGAGCAGCGAGATAGATTTTACAAAACTGTTTACGACGTGATTTACAAAGCTGCTAAGAGGAACCGGTCGGGAGCTGGCTCCTTAGCATGGCAGTTCCTAGTCGAAGGAATGGACGAGAGTAACGATGATTTTGGGATTGTCCCGTGGGAAAGACGATCGATACATAGGCTTATTATAGAGCAATCATGCAGGTTGGCAAGAGTTGGGGGAGACACCCTACAACTAAGAGAATTGAAATATGTGTGTGGTGGGAGATGGTGATATGAGTCTATCTGATTTGAGAGAATTCAATTTGTTGCTGCCATATTTTGTCCCTCTACACTTTGCTTCTTCTGTTGATACATATTCAAAATAGATTAGTTAGCTTAACCTACAGTATTGAATTTCAAACCAGACTATACATGAACTGGTACCTGTAATGCTTTTTTGAGCAAAAATATAAGTCATACCTATTTGCCTTTCAACTCCTCTCCAAAGCTGCAAATTGAATTATTAGGTCATAATATGAGGGTCTTACTGCTTAGCTAGCCTCCTCGGAGTCTCGAGAGCTTGAGTCATGCCTGTGCCCACCATCGACTTCATCAATACATGAGAGGAAGAGTTTGATAACTAAGATGTTGTAACTTGTAAGCTATAAATTAGTGCAATGGTAAGGATTTGAATAACAATTATGTAACCTGTTTGGTGTCACAATTAAGTGAGGGAGAGAGTGTCACAACTTTACTGTCACAATTAAGTGAGGGAGAGAGTGTCACAACTTTACTGAGAGAAAGTAGGTTGTGACCCTCACACGTCAAGATAGACAAGGGGCAACCCTAAAGTAAGTAGGTTGTGACTCTCACACGTCAAGACAGACAAGGGGCAACCCTAAAGTAAGTAGGTTGTGACTCTCACACGTCAAGACAGACAAGGGGCAACCCTAAAGTAAGTAGGTTGTGACCCTCACACGTCAAGACAGACAAGGGGCGGCAACCCTAAAGTGGCGCCCATCCCGATGGGTGCATCATGATTCTCCAACACAACTAATATTTACAGGCCAGCCACGCTAAAAATAGTAGTCTACAATGACAGCAGATATCAGGTTTGAGCGCAAAAATGTATGTATAATCTCAATAAGTGGAAGTACTGGGAAATGGCTATGGAAAGCTACAAGCATTATGTTCATTTTTACATCAACAAATCACTGCATTTCCAAAAGAAAAAATGTCAACACCTCAAGCAATCATCAGATCAAACAAATGTATTACAACATATACTTTCTGCGTGGATGTAACCATGATGTGTGGGAGGGTATAATACATAAAACTTCCCCAGAATTACCTACGAAAAGCTTATCCATACATAGATCTGTAACACGAACCAAATATAATCACAAGTAAGCGAGATTTCACGTCTGCCTCAGACGAGGAAAAGCGATTTTAGCGAGCAGAGAACCTCGGCAGATCAAAGCATGAAGACAGACTACCAAGTTCTATGATTTTTCTACATCTGCTGACGTTCTAACCCTGAAATGAAAGGGAACTTTTCTATATCAATGCTGCCTATTCGCAATTGGTATACAAACATGGGAGATAAAGCAATTACCTCAATCTTGGTCGACCTTGGATTTTTTCCCGGTAACAATCTGGAATATACGAAGGCCTCTACTGAAAGCTTCATTGAATAAGATTCTCGTCTGCATTGACTGAAACCCAGGTAACCATGATAGCACTGCCACGGGAATCATGACGATCACTCCGAACAATATATCGTAGAATCGTGCCACAGAAATAACAACTTCCCAAAGTATGGTCGACTGGAGGAACGGCCGAAGTACTTGGGCAATCAACAATAATCCCCATCCCGTAGGAAGAAATGCCAACAAACTAGTGAAGATATCTATGAATTTAAATGCTGTGAATTCAAGCAAAGCGACTATAATGACAACTGCAAGTATAATAATGAGGAATTGGACGAGCCGATAGTAGATGTGCTCTTTAGCAGCGTATTTATCCCGAGCATACGCTACAACGACGTAAGTTGCCAAGGCCACAAACACGTATATCCAAGATAACAGGTAAACAGCAATACTCGTACTGCCAGCAGAAATTCCAAGCTGATATACAACACCATACTGGAAAAAGAAGAATCTGAGGTCTAAGATTATCTCCAGCACCTTTCCCCAAAACCCAGTTGTCTTTAAATGATCCTGTTCTTCATACCACCATCTTTCCCAACTCTGTTCAGCTTTTGCAAATATGCTGCCACGGTACGATATCCAGTTCATGAAGTCATCGAAGTCATATACAGTCTTCAACCAATCAAAACCAGAAGGATTAAATACGAACGGGGCCATCAACCACGAACCGACAAGGAACCAACTTGTGAAGGTCATGGCAATATAAACAAACGTGTCAGAAGACACTGCACTATGTGATGCATAAACTATAAGAATCAAACCAAGTTCGATTGCTTTAATGAAATGGCTGCGAGCATAAAGCCTATAGTTTTCTGCAAAACTCTTGTGCTGCACAACAAAACCACGGCCTGTTGCCCGATACTTCGCACCACCATGAAGAATGGTTCTTCCAAAATAATGAGCACGAGTTCCCATTGAAAACGTGTAGAATATGGATGAAAGCTGGAGTTGCATGGTCAAAAAGTCCCAGATTGATTCAAGGAAACCATGTTCAAGCGAGTTCTCTACAATCATTGGGAGTGCAGTGAAAAGACCAAGTTGGATGATGAACTGCTGGTTCAAAATTGTAGCAAGTGCCCCATTATTAGATTCACTTGCGATAGCATTTTCAATACCACTAAGAGCAAGATAAAGTCGCCCCCATAAGAATGCATACACAGTTAAAGTTACCATCATTGTGTTGAAAAAAAATCCGACGGTAGTGTAAAAGAACGATAGCATACGGAAGAAGTCGAGCCTGTGGCCCAACCTGTATACATCTCTACTGAGAACTTGCTCCCCATTTCCACTAGCAACCTTGGCCTCAAACATGGACACCTGATTAAATCCAACATCCCTCCCCTTGCCTACTTGGATGTATTCGTGGTGCGTAACATTACCTCCACGCAGCGTACAATTAAAGCCTGCAAATATGTCCTCACTGATGTTAATCACTCTGGATGCTTTACTGATTCCACCTCTAGTCAAGAACCAAAAACGATCAAACACATCTGGATGACCATAATGCATACGGATTTTTAATGGGTTGGCTAGAACTCGTTGACCCAATGTGACAAAACTAGTTTCCTGAGCTGACATAAACCAAGCAAGTGATGAAACAGAACCGGTAAAAATATGCTCTCTAACTCCCAAGATAGTGGGCTTCCTAATTCCATAATTGTGTCTATATTCTTCCAGGAGATTCCTCATTTTGAGTGCCTCCTCAAAATAATTGTCTTGGTTCATATCGATTGTTTGCACTGCATCACCGCGTGTAAAGATAATAGCATGATTTTGGTTCTCCGGTTTACCCTCTCCAAGCTTCAAGGGACCAGGCAGCTTTATCCTGTAAATCTCCACTTCCCTCTCTAGCTGATGATCATATTTTACCAGAACAGAGTAGTAATCTTTCTCTCCTCTCCCAGTAGAAACCTCATCAACATAGGCAACTCGCAGGGCCTCGTTGCTTTTCATCAAGTATAAAATTTCCTCAGCATGAGGATCTTTTTTGGCCTTTTGGGTCCCATAAATCTGGCAGGCAACCACGTAAGTATACTTCATCAAAGCAGTCCCATGCTCATGGCCTTTAAAAAGCAAACTTACTGAACTGCCTGATCTACTAAAGTTCCTAGATGAAGGTAAGCTTTCTGAGGCAAAACCATCAATACTACCTTCTTGTCTCAAAGAACCAAGCTCATGTGATCCTTCCCTAATGTCCACTTCTGAAGCAGAATCCAAATATGCCAGCATCTTGAGGGCTCGATAATAATACATCATTCCTCTCACAGTTCGGGTTAGTGTCTGTCCCCTGAATGACGCCCAAAGCCTAAGATCTCTTAGCTTATTTGTCCAAATTTCACTGTCTTTCATCATCCCTTCTCGGTTCATACGCTCCAGGAAATTTTTCCATTCATCAACATAAATTGTCTGCAGATAATACAGAATTGAAATTCCATCTTCATTTTCAGTACGAAGCTGTTCTTTGCTGTATAATACTTCCTCGCTGTAGTAGGGGGTCAGAACACTGAAAGCCATCATTTTCTCAACTTGAGGTGCATGAGGAATGTTCATGAATAAGGAGTTACTAAAAAAAGCGAGTCGGCGCCTTGCCTCAAGATTGATCGGTATGTTATGCATAGAGTCCCGAGAGGTAAGAATAGTATGCAAACGACGAGCCTGGCGGTAAAAGCTCTCATTACTAGCATCAGGAAACTTAACAGCATTTTCAAAAAGAAGCCCAGTGGTTGAGGTTGAGTTACGGAGAGCCAATCCATCAACTATTAGTTGATCACCGCTTCGCTTCTCCTTGAAAAAGTCTCGAGTGGCAATTTCATAAAGTGCCTGTAGTGTGTTTACAACTTGGTTTGTGTCTTTCTTAGGTTTGCTCAATAGTTCAGCAAGTTTGATCAACTTGGTATGGAGCTCTGGCAATGCATTCATATTGAATGTTTTTGTGAACTTCTCAAGTTCGATAGAATGATCAATCTCTTGGAATAAAACTGTCATAATTGATTTCTCTTCAGAATTATGCTTAAGAATCTGGAGTAGCAAATGCCTGATGGATTCGTAGGCTTCAATTACAGCACAACGTCTATACTCATTCTTGCAAATCTTATGCCAGAGCCATTTGTCAGGAGCATCTATCAATTCTTTGGCTTGACTGAGTGCGAGCAATAGCTCATTGCAAAGAAGAAAACATGGCCAGCGAATAACTTTAATATTCCAAGAATTCAGGGGCAACTCCAATAGCTCAACCTCATGGTCAGAGATGATATCTTCTTCCCTGAAAATAGTTATTATCTCATTCCATATTATAGCAAACTTAGTGGCCTCAACCTGGTTAGATTCAAGCTTCTTATAAGAGTGGCCAAGACCATATCTAAGCTTCAACCGATGAATAGCATCTTTAAACTTGCTCTTCAGTGTCCCTCTGGCATTCAGAAGTTGCTCTTCAGGCATTAGATTAAATTGAATGGCACTGGCAAAGAACTGGAATCTTAGCCTCAACTGTGGGATATTCCGTATCTCACCCAAGTGATCAAACAACCCAACAGCTGCTCCAACAAAAGAGGAGTAGATTGAATACCAAATCTGCAAATCCATGAGGTAGATCAAGACAACAGGAAGCCAAAGTAATATGACAGCAAATCTGTTACTCCTCGTAAAGAACTGATGCCACTCGTACGTGACGTCCCTCAATTGCAACAGTAATTTTGTAGGGGCAATCATGGGTTTGATCTGCAGAAAATAACTAAAGCTGAATTTTGTAGCAAGCACCAGAATCCAGAACAAGCTGTACTTGATATT